TCAGTATTTCATGTTGGAAATATGTATGCTACATAAAGTTTAAGGCTACTTTTATAATATTTGGGAAAGGAACAGCACAGAGATTTAATTTAAAGATAAAGGTTTACACTTCACAGTGTAAAATTTAAAAGAAAAAAACAATACAGGGACCTCCAGGGGAAAAAAAAAATGTTTTCTATTCTAGAACAGATTTTACAGAAAACATTCACAAAGATAAAGTAAGAAATTATCTTCTATATATTGTACAGGCCCAAATTCTATGTTTTCATTAGAATATTCAAAAGGGAAAAAAACCCAAAACCTTGAATCAGTTTACTATAAAGCAACATGTGAATGCTCACCAAATCCGTTTCTAGGCATATTATTTCGATTAAGAGTAGCAGAAGGAGGTCTCCCAGCTAGCTGTGCTGTCAGTGGAGGGGAACATTCTCCACCACTCAGGGGGGATGGACCAAAAGAGCCATTATGGCTCAGTGGACCTAAAGACAATAATGCCGTGTTACTACTTTAAAGAAGCCTTCTCCCTGACACCAACCCTCACCTCCCACTCTAACAAATCATTCAGATTATTTCATAACCATTACACACAGAAATAAAAAGTAATTTACATACATTCTGCTCCAAGAAATAAAACAGCTCCTTTTACAAAGTGCCCCCTACCTTTCCGAGGAAGATTTTGTAAATTTGGTCTTCCCGGCATAGGTTTTACAATCACGGGTTCATCTTGCCGCACTGCCATCTTTTGGGTCATTTCCAATAGTCTTGAATATTGAGAAAGAATGGGCTGAATTATGAAACAGCAATCTATTCCTTCATAGATAATATCTAGCATAACCTTAAAACACTATAAAACATACAGTAAGATACCAAAATCACATACTTCTGTCTCACATTAGTAGCTTCCGTTTTCTTTTCAGCTATAGCTCTTCTTGCAGAACGAGCTTTGAGCTATTAAAGAGAAAATATTCAAATTCAGTTGCGGTAGGCTATTCACAAAATAAAGAAAAGGGGGAAAAAAATCTTACCCAAATATCATGAGCTTTCTTCTCATGCATAGCAATCTGAAAAAGACAACACATTAAAAAATATGTTTTTAGGGACTCATTATAATAGCCTATAATTGTCTGTATTAGATA